CGTGTTCGGACGCGCCCTCGTGCTAGAATTCTGTCTGATTTTCCCCGGGTTGGGTTGTCCGGCGCGGGCTGTGGATTGAGGAAGCGATTCGTCCGCGCTCAATCCGTGGTTCACGATCCCGGAAAAAGGGGGGGGGCTTTTTTGGAGGGATGGGGGCCGAGGGCCGGTATTTACCCCTGACCACCCATCCACAACGAAACAACCAGCCCATCTCCCTTCCATCTCCCATTTCAATGTCTGTACACCGACATACAAAATAGAGGCGGGGTTTTAAAGGGACCGGGAAGGTATGGAAGGACGTGTGAGAGAGAGCGCGAGGGAGAGAGAGCGAGAGAGAGCAAGATTCTCAGTTGGAGAGAGAGCGAGAGAGAGAGAGAGCGAGATTCTGAGTTGGAGAGAGATAGCGGGAGAGAGAGAGCGAACGAGAGAGCGAGCGAGAGAGAGAGCGAGCGATAGAAAGAGAGCGTGGAGGAGAAAGGAGCGAGTGATCGCGACAGAGAAACATAGAGAGAGACTGAAAGAGAGCGTGTCAAAGGGCGGGAGAAAGAGAGAGAAAAGAGAGAGAAAGATAGAGAGAGACAGGCAGAGAGAGAGAGAGAGATCTTGACCGTCATGCTGATGTGTGAATACACCACAGCGATCCACGAATATATGCAAATCTCCCAATGGTAGTATCAGCAATAGTCATCGGCCATTGTGGCCACCACCAGAAACACACACTGTTTTCCAAAACGCCCGTCTCTAAAAGCGACGTCTCGCGTGGAGATGTGTCATATGCAAATATTCCGGGCAACAACCCTTTCGCCATTCAAGGGCCCTCTCCCCACTTCACACACCACCCCACCGGGGTGCCCACCATCGAATTACGCGCACGGATACAGCATACACAATCCGAAACTCAGGATCAACGGCTAGGGGATGACAATTTGTGGGTTAGAGAAACCTGTCGCAGCAGATGAGCATTTTTCGAAATTCACTTTTTCGAAAACCAGTTTTTCGAAAAGTTACCTTTTTTCGAGTCCTGTTTTCGAAAATTGATAGTTTCGAAAAGCAGCTTTCCAATTTAGAAAAATTTGCATTGCTATTTTAGACTTTTTAAGCCCAGGCCGGTTGATACTTGGGCGCAAAATTTTCGACATTATGAGTTGTCGAAAGCCTGATTTTCGAAACTTTACTTTTTGAAAGACTGATTTTCGGAAGTAGGACGTTCAAAGGTGCCCTGAATCCGTGAAAATGTGGAGTCGAAATCGGTAAATCGGGAATTAGCTTTATCTTTAACAGATGGAATGAAAATACTGTGGGAGCTGCATCCGAAGCTCTACATGACCCAGAACACGAACACCCACTATATACCCAGGCCCGTACGGGAGCCGAGATTTCGGAGGGGGCACCCACCCAAAAAATTTTCGGCGACCTCCCCCCCCCCCCGGTCGTTTCGAAACAATGATAAACAGCGCCGCAGGCAGAAAAATTTTTGCGAAAAAAACATAAGGGTCCCCCCTGATGAACTTTTCGGACCTCGACCGATTTCGGGGGCACCGTGCCCCTGGTGCCCCCCCCCTCGTACGGGCCTGTATATACCCAACAAAAAAAAACGTAAAAATTTCGGGAGTGCAACGACGACTATAGCCGTAGGTATCTATGGAGCCGAGGGGGCATCGCAAAAGGGCCGGTCCTCCGGCAGGTCGACAACGAGAATAGCGACTATATAGAGAGCAGTGTGTGTGCCACTGACTACCTGACTATCTGAGTGCCCGTTTTGGCCAGTGAAATGGGTGTATTTGGGCGATGATACTAGCCACTACGGGCTGTAAGAAGGGTGGTAAGGGCAAAAATAAGACAATCATTCTTCTGGCCCTCAGAATTAAAAAATTTTGCCGGGCGATTTACTACGGTCCCCTTCCTTCGATTTCGATCCTGATTTTTGAAAAAGATAACTTTGAAAAAATCTGCCAACTACGAGTTGCGAAAAAAATTTATTTTGAGAACCAGGGTTGAAAAGCCGCTTCGCGACTTTTCAACCCTGGCCCCGTCTAACCCTTGATGTTCTTCGTTTTGCGTAAAATCCAATTCCAATCCGCATCCCCAGATCGGGGCCTTTATATAGGCTACTGCAACTTCCGGCGTTATCTGATTTTATCCTAACAAAGTGGGTGTCGGAATTTTTAAGAAAAACTTAATTTTAATGTCGAAAACACCATATTTTACAATATCCGGTATGTGTGCAGTCATCTCCAGCCCATTACGCATCTAATGACGTATCAAACACCTCCTCAAACCGCTCCCCTCTCGAGATATCCTCCGGACACCCTGACGGAAGTTGCATGCAAATGCACACACACACACAACTATTTTTTTATATATAGTAGGATCAAAGTGGGAAAACAAAGTCTGTAAAATAGCGAGCGCTTTTTTTGGGCGCGAGAAATATGTAGATGGTCAACAAGGCCAGACCCTGGATTTTGCACGCTTTGCAGAATTTCTATGAATTTCGGTAAGTAGGAAAAACGCCAAAATACCGACATACAAAATTCCAGCATCTCAAAGTTTCGGCTGCTAAGGTCACGATGTTCAAGCCGTAAAAAAAGCCAGAATTCTAAAGAACATTGAGGGACCGTCTCGTCGATGCGAAGCGCAGGCAAGCCTGCTGATTTTTTCAAAATTCGGCCACCCGGGCGGGTACAAGATAAATAACCGGCTGGCTGGCTTGGTTTTGCCTCCCCTTTTTGGACGATCGACACAAAGGAGACCCGGAATTTCCAAGAGCCCGCACACCTGGCCAACCCCTATTGGAGGGCTGGATGACCACCCTCCTGACAAACCATTACATCAAGACCACAATTTTTGGGTGCGATTGGGACCTCAGAAAGACCACAAAGATTGATTTTAAAGGGACGGACCAGGCATGATTATTATTCGTCGGCATCCAAAGTAAAGCACAAAAGCTAAGCCTAAACTTAAAGCTAAGCCTATGCACACGGATATGCCTAAACCCTAAGTCTCAGCCTCAGCCCAAACCTAATCTAAACCGCAGCCTAAGCCTAAGCTAGACCTAAGCTCAGTCCTAAGCATCAGCCTAATCCTAAACCTAAGCCTAAGGCCAAGTCTAAGCCTAAGCTAAACCTAAGCCAAAGACTAATCATCAGCCTAAGCCCGAACCCTCAGTTGAAGCCTGAAACTAAGCCTAAGCATCAGCCTAAGCCCGAACCCTAAGCCGAAGTCGAAGCCTAAAACTAAGCCTAAGTCCAGGCCTAACCCAAGCCTCAACCTCAACTAACCTCCTCCATTCAGCAACCCAAGTGCAATATCGTTGTTTGGCGGCATCCCCAGGAAAAAAGTTATTAGAGAATTTTCACGACTTGTAGAAGGGCGCGACCTTCTTTAGCATCCAAATCATGTCTAACCCATTCACTCGCGGTCAGGGGAGGCGCGCGCACAAAAAATGACGGCTTTACGGGAAACGGGCGCGAGAATCCATTAGCCAGCACGTATGACAAAAGTCATTGTCTTTTGGAAGGGAGGGGAATGTCGAGGGATAGGCAACCAGCCGAGGGACTTGTGGAAAATTTGCTATCATAATGTCGAAAATCGCAATTTCGAAATTTCAAAATGTCGAAATTTATTTTACAAAAGTTTAGGCGTTTTCCGGGAAATTTGCTTATGTAAATTTTGGCATTATGAAATTTGGACACTAAAAACGATCAACGCTATGAATTTCGCTCACATGTCGACTATTTCCAGCATTTTGGGTGGTACAATGAAAGAAATTGCTGCAGGAAATCCTAAGAACCGCCCCTCATACAAGGTGACGTTTTTGAGTGACTTCCCAGTTTTGAGCATGACCAAGCCTATTTTGTGCAGAATTTTGCGCTGATTCCGAATATGTTTTCCAAATTTGCTTAATCGGTTAGGTAAAAAAAGTTACAACGCATTTTAGGGAGAACATGAAAATTGTATAAAAATCGCCTCAAAATTAGGGCGGGACTAGGTCGCGACAAAAATGATTTTTCCGGAAGGATTCCAACAATTTGCATATGATAGCTCATTCGAAAGAGGAGCATCTTTTCCTGCACAAGATGTCCTAATTACTTTTGCCAAAATATTTTCTTTCGAATTTTCCAGGTGTCTAAACTTTGCGATTTTGAACATTTTTGCCCTAAAATGCGCTGTAACTTCTTCGAAATACCGATTAAGCAAATTTGAAAAACAGATTCGGAATTAGCGCAAAATTCTACACACGATAGGCTTGGTCATGCTCAAAACTGGGATGCCACTCAAAAACGTCTCCCTGTTAGCTTAAATAGCTTATGCGGCGAGAGGGCGGGGACGCGCGTTATTAGAGCGTCATTTGTGTTCGTACGTCGCCAAAACTACACTACCGGAACTACTACACTACTACCGGAACTATACTTGGGTTTTAGGGTAATTTAAAAAGATCTCGCACAGAGATCTCTCTCGCTATGCTCTCTCTCTCTCTCTCTCTCTCTCTGTGACAAAAACGCTTTTTATATATAGTGCGATAGTCGGATAGTAGGATAACTCAACCAGAAGATGGATCATCATGAAATAAGCTAGATAGGTAAAACTGGATAGATGAATGGACCTTTGTAGATAGTACCCTTTCGAATGCCTTTAATAACTACTGAATAACAACTGACAAACCCTATCAGAGTCTTGTCTACCCTTATTCACCCGCTGACTCCATGCAACAATAACGAATCGTGTGGAGGTGTGACAGGTAGTCGTCGTTTCCCCCATCCCATCTATCTATACCATATATGCATCGGTTACACTATGCACCTCACGACGGGAGGCCGGGCAGAGAGAGCGAGAGAGAAGGGAGGGGGAGAGGAGAGAGAGAGAGGAGATAGAGAGGCAGAGACCTGTTTTTTGAGGGCAACGGTTGCGGCTTCTCGGGATTCCCCCTATATAAACCGACGAAAGCACATTTTCGAGGTCATCTTTCCGCATCTCAAAAACCTCACCGCCAATAACACAAAATGCTGCGCTTCATTTTCCTATTTGTATTACCGCTGGCTTTTGGGCAATCTGACGATGCTGAAAAGGAAAATGGAATTTGGCCCAGATGGGGTAGGTTGAAAAATTCTGGATTTCCGACGTTCGAAGTTTTGGTTAGGTTCTACGGTGACGTTTTCTAGCTTCCACGGAGTTTCAGAAGGTAGCCAAGCCTAGGTCTGGTCTGGCATCTTAAAAGATGCGCAATTTTTCGTAAAACATTTTAATCTAATTTGTTTTTCAGTGTTTCTATGAAATTTCCGAGATAAATCGTCACTTATAGCAAAATTGGGGGACTTTTCCGCTTAGAGAGTACGAATTGCACCACCCGTGGATAGTTCACTGCGCATAGGAGCACCGCGTACCGTTTTTCCTAGCCCTGTCTTATGGTTAGGAAATGAAATTGCCTGGCCTATTTTGTGCAGAATTTTTCTCTGAGTCAAACCAAGGCTTCGAAATCTGCGAAACGACCACAATAAGGAGAAAAACGGCCCAAAGTGACCATTTTGGCTAGTTTCACGCCTTTGGAGCTTTGTAACTTCCAATTATGGTCATTACGCATTAGATTCTGAAAACCAAATTGACTAGCGAAGTATTCTGGGTAAAGGTCGCTTAACGGTGGGGGGGAATACGGGGTGGAAACCATTTTGGTATTTATAAAGTATATTTCGCTATTTTGAAAACTCCATCGGATAGATCCTCGAAATGATACTAAAGGTTTAATTTCGGCCCGAAATACCACAATTTAAAATTATTACTTTGTTAAGCGAAAAGTGAATTTAATTAAAAAACGTTAAAAATGAGGTTTTTTGGATTGAAATTATATCTCTTGTTATAGATTTTTGACGTTCTTTCCGATGGCATGCTTGAATTGGCACAACCAGGTCCCTATAGGGAAAAATGGTTTCCACCCCCGTTATTTCCCCCACCCCCGTTAAGCAACCTTTCCCGAGTTCTGCACAAGATAGGGTTGGCCACGTCTCGAAACTTCGTGCTCGCCTAAAAATGTCCCGTTGTTAGACTCTTTTTTTCAGAACAACGCACGATCCGATGCACAAATTCTACGCAGGGCCTCGATTGCCATCTGGAGGCACCCGGATCAAGGGTGAGGGAGTAGTATTTAATTTTATTCAAGAAAAAGCTTTTAGTTGCATTGAAGCACAAGCTTTTAATTTTTTTGTGAATTGGATAGTTCTAGACCCTGAGTGACACGAACCGTTTCAAATGCCACCGCGAGCCGATGCCAAAGACAACTTGGAATGGGCTGCCAGAGTAGGCCACTGTAAAACAACCCGCTAAATTTCCGGCGTTCAGGTCGGAGACTCGGATCGCCTGCCCGATCGGGTGTGCCCCTGAAGCTGATCTGTCCGTCATTCAAAAGACACCTTATAACAACCCGAAATGCGTCAAGTATTTCACGTATGGAAAGTATAGGTGGGTGACTTGGGCTAGGCTTAGGCTTAGCTTAGGTTTAGACTGAGGCCTAAGCTTAGGCTTTGGCTCAGGCTAAGCTTAGGCTTAGGTTTAGGCTAGGCTTAGGCTTAGGTCAGGCTTAGGCTTCGGTTAGTCTCAAGCCTAGGCCTAGTTAGGCTTAGGCTTTGGCTCGGCTTAGGGGAGGCTTAAGCTTTGGCTCTAGGCTTAGGCTTCGTCTTAGGGCTTAGGCCTAGCTTTAAACTTAGGCTTAACTTATGCTGAAGCTTACCCTATAATCCGAGTTTCCAGGGATGCCCGTCTAAAGGAATGGTTCCTGTGGGTGACTGCCCCTTGCTTCCCAGAAACACTAACCACCCACTGTCGATTCAAGGATATCCCCCCAGAAACCGGCCGAGGAGCTGAAACACCGTCAAAAGGCCTAAGCCCAAGGCTTCATCGGCTTCTATCGATAAATTATTTATTCGCCTGAACGACATTGTACATATATCATCTGAGAATTTATCCAACCGTAAATGGTAATGCTTAGGAATCCCATTCCTCCTTGAGCCACAGATTCCACACGAAAAAGACGAGAATCGAGATAGCGTAGATTGGCAGTGCGGCCGAACGGCCGATCAGGTCCCACCTGGAAGTTTTGGAGGTTTTTTAGATCATGCTTAGGCTTAGGCTTAGACTTAGGCTGCGGCATAGGCTTAGGCTTAGAGGGCTTAGGCCTAGGCTTCGACTATGCTAACCTCGCTGCACGAAGGGACAATTGATCGGCCTTGGCTTGAAACCCGTTTGACAGCGCTCTTTCGTACGTATTGAGCAGCGGAGTGTGGGAATTCTAAACTAATTTCATAAATACCGTAATTGCACCCACTTGATGATCATTCCCATTCTGATCCACTTTATTGTCAGGCGGCCTTTGATGCGAAATCTTGTTCACCAGCCGCTTCTCGTACCTTCTAAAATCTTTATCACTAAACGTATCTGAAGTTTATCACGAAAATCAATAAACACATTTCGAAAACCTGACCTCCTGCTCTCCTCCCTCACCAGCTCGTTCTGCCGTGCCAAATTTTGATATTTTTCGTGCGCATTTTGCAGGAATATCGTGATCAGGAACTAAACGAGGAATTTAGGTTGCTGTAGACGCTTACATGAATTAATCCGCCAAATAAGAAACAAAAATGCAGCAAATTCCACGCGTCGCCAGGTGTGACTGAGCTGCGGCTGGGGGCCATTTGATTCAAAGGAAAACCACTAAAAGAAATTTTTTATGTCTCCATATAGAGTCTCATCTCCCTCGCTCTCTCTCTCGCTCTCAGTCTCTCGCTTCTATCTCTCTCTCTTCCACTCTCTCACTTTCTCTCCCTCTCCCTATCCCGCTCTCTCTCTCTCTCTCTCTCTCACTCTCACTCGCTCATCTACCCACCATAACTGTCGTAATAAAAGCGCCGGTTGCTACCAGGAAAAACCGCAGTGACAAACTCGTCCTAGCTACAAAAAACGAGGCCCATATCAGTGTGATTACGGTAATCGAGGGCAACAAATAGCGAATGAGAAATGGTAGCACAGGGCGACGGACATAAAACTGAGCCTCCAGACACGAGTGGCGGGCTGAAAAAGCTTTTGCTTTTGCACAAGCTGAAACTTGTCAAACGCACCACTCCTCGTCTCCGCATTTGTTATCGTATAGATGGAATCGTAGGTACAGGCGACGGGTGTGAAGTCTAAAAGTATCAAAAGACACTAATAGGTAATAAGGCATACTTTATTGCAGAATAAAACCGGTCAGAGTAACTAAAAAAAACTTCTTAAACTACCTGTAATCTCGGCTCCAGAAGCGGTACGATACCTCGGATGCGAGGTTCGGACGGGCTTGCTTGTTCGGGCCCATTGCAGGGCCAGCTCGGCGGATGAGTGTCGAGCTAATAAAGGTAAGATATACCCCTGAAATATACGCTGTTTTCGGGGCATGGGCGCGGTCGCGTCGCGGCGAGGTGGCTATTTGCCAGGAATCAGCTGACTAGGATGCCGCTTTAAGGATTTCAAAATGTCGACATATTTTCTGGAATCCTCTACCGATTTTAAGAATTTGATGCGCTCAGGAATCACCAAGGTCGTAGAATGGCGCTGATAGACCCAATTGAATACAAATTGACAGACAGTCAGATTACGGCATGAAATCTTTTTCATGCCGTGCTCAAAAAATCGATTTTGTCTCAAATTTTCTCAACTATTTGATCTATTCTTTGCAAAAAAAATCCATTTGTCAAGACATTAGGCAGTAAGCCTTTTGTGTTTTTTTGAAAGATATTTTCGATCCCCGAGCCCCCGTTTAAAATCGCTTCCCGGAAATGTTTCAGGGTTCCTTAGCGTGTGCCCTAGTGGCAACTGTTGTCCCTCGCCGACTAAAAAAACAACAGGTTGATGGCCAGTGAGTGGCAGTTCCAAAGAGGAAAACCAGCTCGAAAAAGTTGTAAGCAAAAAGTAAGACTGACGGGAAATGACCCGAATTGAGCAGTGCTGCCGTTCGAACGGGAATTGCCCCGACGGCAGGTGGCAGATCGACCGGACACGGGCTCTGAAAAAAAGCTTTCCACTTTATTTAATAAAGTCTGAATAAAAACAGGCAAGCTAGCATTGGGTATTCAAGGATTTTCAAGCTGAACCCACCTCCGCTTGCTGCTCAAAATATCGCCAAAAGATTTGACGACCCAGCGAAGGTAGCTGAGCATCTAAAATGAAAATCAACGGTGAGTTTGTTACGTAAAAATATCGGCTTAGGGAGATTATGATATAGGTAAATTATAAAGACTCTAGAGCCGTTTATACACTATTTTTTGTACTATTTAAAAACGATAAAAAAAGACTGAAATTTCGGTAAGACTCCAGATAACCCCCACCCCCAGCCAGCCCCCCAACCTCTGTATCTCGGCTCCCTGTTGATCTACAGGTGTGTAAAGTATACCAAAATGTTCGTCTCGCTCTGGCAAGTATTTTGGTATATTTTACACTCCTGTAGATGAACAGGGAGCCGAGGTACAAAAGTTGGGGGGCCGGCTGAAGGGGGTATCTGGAGTTCTGCCGGAATTTCTATTAAAGCATGCAAAAAAAAAATCGAATTTTCAGCAAAATTCCAGATTTTCGATAAATCCCCAAATTTTCTGATGGGTTTACCGCCGCAAATCAAAAACTCGTTTGCGAAATACACAAAAACCCTAAGAAACTGTTAGCCACTCACCTGTACTTTGTACGCATCAAAGGCGCAATCGACAAAGGGATGCGGCTCGTTCTGCGCCTCGATCGTCGCCAGTTCAAGCGATTTTGCATTCGGGCTATCCGAGGCTAATAACAGCTCCACGGTACTTTCAAATTCCTAAAAAAGGTATGATTCGGATTCTCCAAAAAACAACTACAGGGCGCCCCAAAAATTGATCCCGACCTTGAGCTCTTATAACTTCTGATAGCGGGGTAATTGACCATGCGTTACCATGGCATGGAGCCTAATATGTCAGGAAAGAGCAAAAAAAAACTAAACTTGTTTTTTGCGGATTTCGGCGACGTATCAAGGCAAATGACACCCGAATAATGTGCGTTCCGGCAAACGTGCGTTGCCCTTTCCCGGCGTTTCAGTTTTGTTCCAGTTTTCAATAAATATAATATTTTGCCTCAACATAATTACGCCTAGCAGATAATTACACCCTAAAATTCACAGCGATCTCGCCACTAGAACGCCGTAAAATGGCCACGCACGTTTTTCCGGAATGTACATGATTCGGGTGTCATTTGTATTGTTACGTCGCCGAAAATCGCAAAAACAAGTTGAGTTTTTTACTATTTCCTGACATTTTTAAGCTGTCTGACATCATAACGCATGGTCGATTATTCCTCTGTCAAAAGTTATAATAGCCCAAAATTGGGAATAGGACAGCTTTTCCATTTAAAAAAAATGCGTACCCCAGTCTGCCAGTCGAATTCGTGGATGTCCTCGATAAGTAACGTGACATAAAGGGCAATCGGTTTGTTGTCTGAAATATCAAAAAATATCAAAACAACCAGGGTTGAAAAGCCGCTGCGCGGCTTTTCACCCCTGGCCTTTGCGGGGGTATCTTTAAAAGCTGCTCACTTTCCATAATTCTAGCGAATTAGCGCCAACCTCTCAACTAAATAAAACATAAGCGACCGAATGCGAGCGTGACAAAATCCGAAATGAGCCCCTTAACGGCTCGTATGCAAATGAGGACATTTCCATATGTTTTAAAAAAGACTAAAATAAGGTCTAAATCGTCATTTTCTTAAAAATCTGATAAGCGCGCAGTAATCTACGCCTTCGAATACCTCTAAATACGTTTCAGTTGGCCCCTAAAACGCTTTTCCCGTCCTGATATCTCAATAACCCGGTTTTTTCGAGCCTTTTATGCAAAGTGTCTACACACACAAACACTATTTTTTTATATATAGTAGGATTTACGGCTACTTTCCAGGCATTTTTACTGAAATTTTTTTTATTCAAACCCACCGAGTGTCACCGCCGATCTACCGAATGTCAGGTAGAAATATAATGTAAATAAAGTGCGCATGGGCTGAAAAATAAATTTACAACAAATAAAAGCTCACGAATAACGAAGCGTAAAGCGATAAGGAAGCGTGAAAAGATGGTGAAAGGGTTAAAATCTACCACCTTAACGTATAAAGTCGTAGTAGCTCTTTGACGCTTGTTTGCCCGGAAATATTTTGGAACGCCCGCTCTTTTCGAGGGGCCGGAAACACGCAAAAATTGCCAAGCTCTGAGAGATGTCTGATCAGGTAAAGTGCGGGGAATTACGGGATCACTTCCAAATTTTCTTCGGAGCTTTTAGGGATTTACATTTCATTCAGCCCAGAGTTGGAGTTTGATCGAGATTTCGGATTAAATTAATGAATCCCGGTGGTACAGACGATTTTTAACGACAATTTTTGGCATAGTTTCTGATTGTAAGACATATTAATGGAGCAGGTATTTAAGGGATGGGAACGACGTAAATTTCCTAAGGATTTTTCCGTGGGGATATAGATTCCCATTCAAATTTCGCGTCCGCCCGACTAACGCTGAGACGTTTCTTACTGGTTAGTTAGGATCGTCGTTGAAACTGGGTCATTTTGAGCGTTTCGCGGTCTTATCACGCCCATAACTTTCCGGAAATGGCGATTCCGGAAAAATTGGTAAACATATTCGGAATCAGCGCAAAATTTTGCACACAATAGGCTTTGTTCAGACTTGACACCCCGATGACCCTCGCAAACGTCTGTGCGTTCACACTCTTGCGAGTTCACACCCTTCGGGGTTCCGCAGGCTTCGGCCTGTTAAGACTCCCACTGTTCGCAGTGTGGAGTTTCCTTTCATCTTTTTACTTCTCATATATTACTTTTCTCTCTTTATTGTAAGCCTTAACACCCGAAATTTTAAGCTCCGAAAAAACCTGAGATTAAAATACAATATCCAAATTTAAGCCAAAAATCTGCGAGAAGCTGGGTGATAGGCGAGAATCCGTGTTTTCCGGAAGAGTCGAAGCAGCCCATCAAAAATGGGCGAGTCTCTCCCGTCCCGGTGTGTGTCCTCCTGGGGCCCATCCAGGCCTCACCTCACCTCATGCTCCCCCGAAATTGTAAAGGGGAGGCCCGGGACTCGGCTGAGAATTCACGGATCACCAGAGCCAGCGATGGGGCAGAGAAGGGTCAGCTGTAGAGGAATGAGCTTTGGGTGAGCGAGTAGAGAAAAAGCAGAAAAAGGCAAAATATGTGTTTCACCGGAAATGAAGAAAACGCGGTACTGGACTGTTAGCAGGGGGACAACCAACCTTTGCTTTTCCGTCTATACCCGGCTGTTAATAATGAAAAGTGTATTTTATAGTTTTTGGGGCTTTGTTATTGGTAGAAAGCTACAAAAAAATGCTTGAAACATTTGTAAATTCGAAAATGCCGACTTTTAGAAGGTTTTCCGAAAATTTTTGACCAAAAGTCCGCAATTTTTATAGTTTTCAAGAGCTAAAATTTGTATAACATGCTGAAATGGTTTGTTTTTTTAACCGCACAAGATTACTAGAAAAAAATTAACTTCTCCTGTAAATCCTTACCCCCCTGCTAACAATTCAGTATCGAAACGCACCTTGCCACAAACCCTTTGAAACGCAAAAACACGAGCCAGGTTTTCCTGGTTATTACCTCCCCGCCCAGACAGTATTTCTTTGAAGAGTCGAAGAACCCCAGCAAAGAATTCGCGCAGGCAACGACAAGCCGGCCAGATGGATTCCTCAAAAAATCCGCCGATGGAAAGCGGAAGAGTGGCCGGGGGGGAGAGCGCCGGTAAATATTTCATCGATAGTCCCGAAAAAAGATTGTACATTCCGGGAAAACACCTGGACGCAGGTGGTGCTCGCTTTGGGAGAGGATGGCAAATTTTTTTAGGGGGTTCCTTGCACGGCGAAAATTTGGTTAAAGGGGCATAGAAATGGAGATCGGGCTTTGATTTGTGGCAAATTTCTCAAGGCGAAGGCTAAACTTAAGCATAAACATAAGCCTAGCCTAAGACTAAGCCTAGTCTAAATCTAATTCCTAACAAGGAGACGTTTTTAGGTGGGCACGGAGTTTCGTAACGAGACCTAGCTCATTCGAAAGAGCTTGGAAAACTGAGCAAGATCCCGTTTTCCATTTCTGCGAAACGATAGCGTTTGATTTTTAATAATTAAATTAAAGAATTTGCAGAAAGCGATTCTCGCGCGATCCTCGCGCGGAGCGATTTCCTTCCATGATCCCCTCTGTCGGAAAGCCAGGCCCCGTCTTCCCTTCCCCATAGCGATTTGGCGCACCCGGTACGGCGTTTGCCTCTAACGAAATTTTTTTTAGACTTTTTGTCAGTTCGACCCTTGAGCCCAGAATTCGTTTTGCTTTTTAATTCCTGAACACTTTCTAAACGTGGAATCTAGTCCAAAATTAATTTTTTTGTGGTATGCCCCAAACCGGTAGTGTTGCACTCGCGTCTCAGGGATTGAAAGCAACTGCCCCGCTTGCGCCTGCACCGATGCTGTTCAGAACATTTATGTAACGCCGTGCGATAATTAAATTAAAATAAATAAAGTAAGCCTCCTAAAATAAAAAGCAAAACGAATTCTGGGCTCAAGGGTCGAACTGACAAAAAGTCCGAAAAACTTTCGTGAGAGGCGAACGCCGTACCGACTGCGCCAAATCGCTATGGGGAAGGGAAGACGGGGCCTGGCTTTCTGACAGAGGGGACCTTTGGAAGGAAATCGCTCCGCGCGAGGGGCATCTTGCCAATTTCTGCAAATTCTTTAATTTAATTATTAAAAATCAATCGCTATCGTTTCGCAAAAATGGAAAACTGGGTCTTGCTCATTTTTCCAAGCTCTTTCGAATGAGCTAGGTCTCGTTACGAAACTCCGTGCCCACCTAAAAACGTCTCCTTGTAAGCTTAAGACTAAGCAAAGCCTAAGCTTAAAGAAACATTCACCTCAAAATTTTATGAAGTCTGTCCACGCTATAGCAGGGTCTTTTTTTCCCCTAGTGTGGATAGGCCCCTCTGGACCGAAGAAGGCCTGTCCTTTCCCTGTCGCGTCTGCCATTTGGCGCATCGGTTTTGTGTTCGCCTGCCGCGCGGAAAGGCCCGGGTTCGATCCCCGGCCGTGGCAAAGCTTTTTGCTTTTTGATCAAAAACTGGGGTTGAACGTTTCTTTAAGCCTAAAGAATCTAAGGAAATATACGCCTGACTTCCATCAGGCAGGCAAACGCCTTCGCATCAACCCAGCCCATCATTCAGAGGAAATCCGAAACCGGATCCTATCCTCTCCCAAAAACCAATCCAAAACACTCGAAAATCTGACAACCCAATAAAGCAGAACTCTTTATCCGTAAGTGGTAGCGGGTAGTGCGGGTTTTGACAAGATATTTGTTGAGATTCGGTGAGATCTAGCGGCAAAAACAAAGGTTTCGTGACTAGCAATAGGGGGAAATGGCCTGGGGCAAAATGCAAGAAAGAGAGATCACATTACATAACTGGGCAGAGGCACCGGGTTGGCTTGAAAAAAACATGTCTTAAAGGGGCTGGGAATCGGACCTGGTGAACTATTAATGAAAACGCAAAATATCCGATTTGCAGCAACTTTGACATCACTTTTGGGCATAGCTTCAGGGATTACGACAAGTTTAAAGTACGTAAAAAGCATTTTGAAGGCGCGAGAGTCGACGTATTTAGGTGAGCGACTGAAGTTTGAATTTTTGTTTTATTTTTTTGAATTTTTCACCTGGAAGCAAGACACACAGCCCTCTCCTGCATACTCCGTGATCCCTCCGTGTATTTCGCCAATCTGAAACGGGTCCTTAGGCTCGGATTTCAGGAGGTCCATGTGTGCTGTCGGTACTCGGACATAGTGGCTAAGATTTTTCAGCTTGAAAATCCTTGAATACTCAATGCTAGCTTGACTCTTTTTATTCAGACTTTATTAAATAAAGTGGAAAGCTTTTTTTCAGAGCCCGTGTCCGGTCGATCTGCCACCTGCCGTCGGGGCAATTCCCGTTCGAACGGCAGCACTGCTCAATTCGGGTCATTTCCCGTCAGTCTTACTTTTTGCTTACAACTTTTTCGAGCTGGTTTTCCTCTTTGGAACTGCCACTCACTGGCCATCAACCTGTTTTTGTCTCTTGTCCAGTGCCTCGACAAAATCCACTCCTCTCTACTCGCCCCTTGGCAGAAAGCGGACGCCGTCAACACCTTCATCCTGCCTTGCATCGCCTTCCATCTGAAGAACGGCCACGTCGAGAAGAAGAAGCACCTCATCCCGTTCGACAAGAAGTTGAAGAAGTTCGCCAAGTCGTGGATGAGCCTTCCAAGTCAAGCAAGCCCCGAAGTTCTCTACCTGCCGCACAACATGGGAGGCCTCGGCCTCATCCAGACCAAGACGCTCGCCGACGTGATGCAGCTGGTGCATGCTGTCCAGTTGTTGGAGTCGACTGATCTCGGCCCAATGACTGCTCAGCTGCTCCGTACAGCTGTACAGAAGAAGATCAAGCGTGCGCCAACCGACTCCGAAGTTGCCGACTACCTGAACCAGAAGCTTGACGGCGCCTTCGAGACGTACTACGCCGACACCCGCAACATGTGGACAAGAGTGCGACAAGCGACCGGCCACCTCGTCAAGACCGACAAGCTCGATGTGAAATGGACGTGGGCCAACGACAAGATCCAGCTGCTCGTGCTCGGATGTGCCGTCACCAAGAAGACGTGTGAGAAGATGCTCAAGCGCGCCGTCCATCAAGCTCAGCTCGTTCACCTCACCGCCAAGAAGAGCCAGGGCAAGGTCTACAACATCACCGCCCACCAGCCCGTCTCCAACTACTTCCTGCGTGATGGACGCTATATCCGCTTTGCGGATTGGCGCTTCGTTCACCGTGCAAGACTCGACGTCGTGCCACTAAATGGCTGCAACCGTGCCCGTGATCAAAAAGACAAGCGTTGCCGAAGATGTGGCTACCAACTCGAGAGCGTCGCCCACGTCCTGTGTCATTGCCCTGCTCACGCCCACGCCATCACCCTGCGCCACAACGCCGTCCTGGACCGCCTCGTCAACGCCATCAAGCTGCCCGCGACCACCACGAAATATGTCAATGTCAAGATCCCCGGCACTGATGGTCAACTACGTCCCGATCTCGCCCTCGTCGACCATGTGAAGAAGCGTGTGACGATTGTCGACGTGACCATGCCGTTCGAGAACCACGACCTGGGCGTCTTCGCTGCCGCACGTGCCGAGAAGCTCCGCAAGTACGCCGACATCCTCAACAAGTTCAACGCCGATGGCTACGACACGTTCCTGGACGCCTTCATCGTTGGGCCACTCGGCGGATGGGACCAAGAGAACGACAACGTGCTGCGCCGGCTCGCCATCTCCGTCAAGTACGCCGCGCTGATGAAGAAGTTGATGGTCGCCGACGCGCTGAAGTGGTCAAGGGACGCATACGTCGAGCACATCACCGCCCACCGCCAATATCAAGCCTAAAAGAAGCGATAACCATTCTCTAGTCATCTTTTAAATTGTAAATTTTTCGTGCCCCCTCCCGAATCTCCCATCCATTTGTGATCAATAGATTCCCACAATTTCTCCCTGAAAATGTTGTAAGCCCCCAATTTAAATGACCTGCGTGTCATTTCGTGTATTCTATTGAAATTGTCATACTGCCGCATTATCCGGCCCTTGGGCCGAGAATTTGCTAATAAACGTTAAACAAACCGATTCGGGCGGCTTCTTGGCCAAGTCTCCTGACTTTAGAAAACAAATTTAGATGCAAAATGATAAGAAACCATCATTTTTTTACAGATTTTAATGCATTTTTATGGTGGTTTATAAAACTTTACCAATTCGTCAGATTCCCCTGCCGCGCTCTTCAGCACTGTATTGTAGCGTCTTCTTTTGCAGTAGGAGACGATCACCTAAGCATTTTTGTTAGGGTCTCTCTCTCTCTCCCTCTCTCTCTATCTGTCAGTCCCTCTCGCTCTCTCTATCGCTCTCTCCCTCTCTCTCCCTCTCCCCTATCTCACTCTCTCCCTAGCTCTTTCTCCCCAGCTCTCTCTCTCTCTCTCTCTCTCTCTCTCTCTCTCTCTCGATCTCGTTTTTCCCTTTAACCATTAATTTATTACATACCTGTACTAACAACACAGTTCCAATAGCGCTGAGCAGACGACCTCCAAAATTGAGCAGCCCAATCAGATATTTCGAGGGCCCAGTGGCCATATCTAACATTTAAATCACCCAGTTTCCGTCATAAAACTCACTCTTTTTGAGGTTAAATTTGAGTGCGTGCTCGTTGCTGACGGCCGCCTGAATGATTTCGGCGTTCAGCTGGGCGGCCCTGAACGCTTTTTTAGTAGTTTGCTTTTGAAGGGTGGTGAACTCACCAAACCGACGCAAGATACGACAACATTTGGCAGATGGTGCCGAGGATCAGAAAAAGGATTATCCCCGCGCATTGGTGGCCTGAAAAAACAGCCTTTTTAATGGGATTTTGCATCTTCGATTTTGGTGGAAAAAGGTGGCTATGGATGGCAGAGGGCCATGGGCAATTGGGGGCAGGCTAGCAGAGTTCCTTGAAAGGCACTGTGCAGGCTAGCAAAGATCTTTGAAGGGCGCTGGGAGGCTGTCCTTTAAAGGGGGACCAGGAGGCAGAGCAGCAGAGGTTTTTGAGGAGCTCGAAGCTGTTTTGTGAAAATTCTCGAAATGAGCGGGCTAGCAGGGATCTTTGAAGAAGACCAAGAGACAGGCTAGCAGGGGTTTTTGAAGGGCGCTGGGCA